TCACACATTTTCCTTCCAGTTTCTTACAAAATGCCCCAGTGAGTCCGAGTTAACTATCAGGCTAGAATTATGAGCTGATTTGGCAAAAAAAAACATGCCTCAAAAATTCCAAACTTCACCCCTTTTGGACTTAATTGGATGGTGGGTACTCTTTTCTCACCTCTCTTCCCTACTGTTGCTCACAATTGAGACCAAGAGGAATTTTATCAGCCCTTGCTTACCTATGCTTCACAGGCTGGAGTTTTACTATAAGGCACATTGTTTTTGGTTGTTTTTATTTTTCATTTATTATTAGGTGTGGTTTTGATGAACGTAGAATTAAATTGATTTATTTGAAAATCATATGATAGGAATTCTGGCAATTGAGCTAGATAGAAATTATGATCAGTTGAGAAAAAATCCAAAAAAATGAAAAGCAGGAAATAACATTCATATACAATAGGGGGTATCAAATATGGGAAATCCATCATGAGAAACCATTCACTTTTCCCAAAAAAATTTTTTGCATCAGTGGGCCCCAAAAGGGGTTAAATGGATAAGCAACATGTTTAAAAAAACATTGTTTTTTTCAAACCAGTCAATTAAATAATGGTGGATTTCGTCATATTTGATACCCCCTAATCTGAAGCTTTCCATTCTCCAACAAAACTCTTCTTCATAAATTTAATGGCATTATATTTGAAGAAAATAACAGATGTTGGCAGATATTCATGACAAAAAACAGGGTATAAAGAATGGAAATTCATATATAAGCCTTTCAAATTTATTAAGTGTTGAAAAATTCCTTATTTTATTAAGTGCCCAATCTACCATGCCTTTTATCTTTTCTAATTCTTCAACCTGACAGTAATTTTCATAAATAGGATTCCTTTGAATTTGGCTGTGATATCTAGCAAGAGTTATGTGAATGTAATTTTCAATCAAGTCTATTTCTTTGTTGGTTTTGAATTTTCCCTTCTTCAAAAGATTTGAATAATCATATTCAGATGAAAAATATGGCTTGTGAAACAAATGGTATAGATGGTAATAAATTCTATGTAGTTGTTCATTCATTTCAATGCTGGAATATGATAGATTCATTGCTTCCTTGAACATTGAACTGCTGTTGTTGAATTCCAGAATCTCATTTCCATAATTTTCTCTGATGAAATCTAAACACAAGAATGAGAAATTCAACTGCAATTGTTTTGAAATCACTTTTAACTTTCCTGCTTGAGTGTTGTCATCTGCAGGCCTGATTCCAAGCTGTGTGAAAGTTTCAGTTAGAGTTGCAAGTTCTTTGGTGATTATGTCAGGATATTGATATGCTTGATTTGATAAAATCTCCCCCCTCTTCCTCATTAATTTAAAGCTTAGATATTCTTCCAATGCTTCAAAAAATCTATCATCTTTAGAGAATAGTTGAATCAAGATTTTTGTTTCTTTTGGAGATTTCAATCTTTCTGTGATAAAAATCTTCAGAGATAGATATACCAATCTTCTTTTCTCTCTTCCCTCAAGTCCTTCATTCAATACAATGGAAAAAAAACAAGTAAAAAAATATTTTTACATCAGATTTTCCAGTTTGAGGATAAAAAATTTGTATATTATTGAATCTTTTACTGACCTCTAAACAAGATCCAATTATGTGCTTCAGATGTATTTTCAAGGATGAAGGTACTTCTTTGAAGCTCAGTCCCCAGGCATTCAAAATAATCTGTCTTGTGGTTCCTGACCATATTTCTTGCAGCCAATTCTAGAGTGTCCATCGTTCCATAAAAATTTCTGAAGACTTTTACAGGTATCAAATCATAATCAAACAAGTAATTCACTGTTTTGAAGATTATTCTTTGCAGATTCTTTGATGCTTCCCCCACTATATAATCTCCATGTGAATGATATGAATTGACATGGTGAAGTAGAGAATTCAAATCTTCAATGTGTGATTTCAGAACAAATTCCTTGACAAGATCCAGGGTGTCACCATGTAGTTCCTTTTTGAATTCCCTTTCTCCCATGACTTTCATAGTTTGAAGTGGATGTGAAAAACTCAATTCCATTAGCTTGGTCCTGATTGGAGTTAATAACTGGGTATGAATGCATGTTAATTCTTCAATACTTTCAAGGAAAAAATCCTGATCCAGTTTACTGAGTTGGTTTGCTTTTTTATGCTTGAAATCATCTAATTCCTTCCTTAAATTTTTGAAATCATCTGCCAATAATTCCTTTTGAACTGTGAAAGAATATACCACTCAGCCACTTCATTGATTAAAACACATATGGATCATAATTGACAATACCTTTTCTATTTTCCCAAGAGTCCAAATTCTTAAGTTCTGAGTCAATTGGCAAGAAGAAGAAAAATGTTTGGCCACTTATTAGTATCTTTGAAATGGCTTTGCATGGGCATATTTATATTTCTTACCCATTATTGGGACCCCAGATGAATGATTGTAGAGTTGAGGGAATGTTTCACTGTATCTCTGAATTGTTGATTCATCTTGATGAGTAATTTCTGATGTTGTCAAGGTCTCTGGTACTACATAGATACATGAAAGGGTAGAGAGCATGAGTTTCTTGTGTCAAGGAACCAGGGGAGCAGAATAGAAACACTTTCAAATTTTCCCAAAAGACTTTTATTTTGGGAGGGGGAAACTTTTAATCATCTTTCTACAAAACATCTCAGGAGTAAGAACTAATCCAAATTGAGACAACTAAACCAGAAAACAAAAAATGTGCTACACTGAGAAATAGTAAATTTTGGATCAGTTTTCTATTTTTTTTTTGCTAAGTATTATCAGTTAAGCTCAGTTTTCATTCCTGGGGTGTTTTGTAAGATGAATCAAGAATTTCCCAGCCCAGAATAAAGATCATCTTTTTGGAAAATTTGATATTGTTGGTCAATGGTGGTGAGATGAGTTGATTGAAATGATGCTTACCCATGATAGAAATGCAAAAAGAAGCTTGCAAGCAGAAAACAAAAAATTGAACTTTCTGTTGAAACTGTAGAAACAAGAGCATTGCTAGCTTTGTAATTTTTTGATAATGACAAGTGCTGATAAATAAGTGATTTGAAATTGGATTGAGAAATAGTGGTGTAAAGAACAAAATAATTTGGCCAAGAATGATCACTCTGCTCATACAAGTAAGAAAGCAAGGTCAAGATACAGGTGAGTTTACAGAGCATTGTGCATTCACTAATTTTGGAAGATGTTTTAAATTGAGTTTACCAACAAAAAAATTATCTGCATCATACCAACCAAATCTTAAACACATTCCCATTTTCCCTTCTCTCCCGGCATAGCCCTGGGGTTGCCTACATACACCAACCAAAGGGAGGGACCATCTGAGAGCCGGAGTAGCTTGAGGCAAATTTGGAAGGTCAAATATTCCTACTTCCAAACTTCCAGACATCCCTTATTCCAAAAGTGAAACCCTTAGTACCATAACAAAGACCTGCATCTCTGCTTGAATCTGATGCTGCACTGTGTGTCTAAAAAGGGTATGTTTCATGATCCACTGGAGCTCCAATCAAACTCAATCATGTTTACAGGCTTCTGTTTGCAAGAACCCTGCATGATTTCAGTCAGAGCTGTAGTGTATCCAGGACACTTCACTGCATGTACATATCCCAGACAGTCATTCTGCTTTGATTTCTACCTCACAACTTTTTCTTTGCAACCTTCCAAAGCAAGGGATTACTATGATGTTAAAAGCCAAGATTGTATAGATCCAATGTGACCAGATCAGGAGGTTCAAACTGACAAGTCCATGATCTCAGAGGCACACAGACAGCCCCTATGGGGAAAAGCAACGGTGCAACAGATATGAGACATGTATTCGTATCGGATTGTATCGTCTTTAGTTTGAGCCTGATACCGGTATCAGTATTTTCTTGGTTGGTGAAAAAAAACTATTGTCTCGGATTTGGATTTATGAATGAAAAAAAAATTGTCTTTGTTTTCTTTTCCTTTTTCTTCTACAGCCAGATATATTGTGTATTAAATACAGTTTTGGTGGGATCAGTCATCTGAGACCATACAGAATACTTGTCTCACTTTTCAAAGACAATACATGTGTATTGTCTCAGGAAAGTGAGACAACACAAATCCGGTATTTTTGGGTATTCAAATTCTGAGACGATACGAATAAATGTGTGATACCGTCTGGTATTGTCTCTGTTGCACCGCTGGGAAAAGCCCACTTTCTAAGAAAAAGTCAGACCCCCCTTGCCCAAACATGGCAATCCCTGAAAAACAGAGGCACAAGGTGTGTTGCAAGCTTTGGATCCTTGGTATGATGGTGACTTCCAGCTAATCATACAGAAGATCCAATTTTTGGTTTATCATGTTGTTGGATGTATACATTTACAGGGGGTATCCAATATAAAGAATCTGAAGACTTAAACCTCCATTTCCTTCTAAACTAATGAACCAATTTTCATGGAGGTATTATGGAAAGTAGCAGTTTCATATGATGTATCTCTATCATTACACTTCATCTGCAAAAATCCATCTTTTTAAGAGAAAATGATGTTTTAAAGTGTGAGAATTTATATATTTGATACCCCCCTATTGATAAAATATGACATCATCATCATCATCATCATCATCTTCATTATCAGAAACTCACATAAAGGATTAGTAGAAAGACAACAACTGGAAGAATGTGAAAAGATGGTTGTTCTTAACATTAAGAAAAAAAAAAAAAAAAAACTAAGACAATTACTACTGAAAACACTACTACTGGCCGGAACATACACTTATAATATGGGATTGATGATGATGACAAAGACAAAACAAAGACAAAGACATAACAACAAATCAAATCAAAGAGAGAGCACAATTAAAAGAAGGGGGATAACTTTTTTTTTTACCAGGATGGTTACAGGAGGGGTTTTTTTTTCTATCAATGTTATAGATCATCTTCCTTTGAGCTTACAAAATTTTAAAAGCTAAAAAAAGAGAGAAAAAAAAAGAAACTCTGACTTTTTTTATATCTTTTTTGTGGTTATGAAGGAGAGCAAAGAAAGTGTTTTTTTTGATAGTTTTGAGTGTGAGAAGAAGAAGAGGAAGAAGAAGAAGAAGGAAGGAGCAAGAGGAGAAGGAAGAGAATGATGCTGATAATGAATGAATGGATGATTATGTTGATGTTGAGGAACAGCTGTTGAGATGGATGATGAAGGATGAAGACCACAACAACAACGATGAAGAGAAAGCAGAAGAAAGAAAGATCAGAATGTCTGTTATTTTTTTTTCTTGGGAGACACAAGCACATCTATGTATATACGCACAACACCAGATTTTTTTTTTTTGGTTAGTTTCAACAAAGAAATCAACTTTTTTGAGGGGAAGGACTTGAGAAAAAAAGAGGTAGGAGAGGAAGGAAAGAGGAGGGAAGGAGGAGAATGTTTGCGCTGAACGTACTCCGATTGGGTAAGGATAAGGATGAGAACTTGTGGAGAATTAAATAATAACATACATGTATCATCTACGAATAGGAAGAATAGAAAGGAAGTAGGAGAACTTGAGTGTGTATGTGCGTTTTTTATTTTATTTTCATGTGAATCATGATAGCATTTTCGAGTGAAGTTGTTATATCATATATAAGAGAGGAAAGAAAGTGAAAAAAGGTGAAGAAAGGGATTCTTGTTTCACATTTCTAATCTGAATGGAGCATCATCGTCATCATGATGAGAATGAAGAGAAGAGAGTGGCCCAGGCGAGCAACTGACGTTACGACTCAAAGGAGAAGAATGAGAGACGGTAGTCGATCCGAAGTTCAGACCAGCCATACGTTGGGACAGAGGGAATGATGGCAAGTTGTTTGAGGCCGTAGTAGAAGGATACTTATTGTTGCTCGTCGGGGGAGATCGTGGAGGGGAGAGAGGATGGTCACGATGATTTGCGGAGGGCGAGCCGCATGGAGTTAGGCCAGTGGGTAAGGGCGGTTGGAAGTGTAATCGAGAGAGGCCGGCGGCTAAGCCTTGGGGGAGACTCGTGCCGGGCGCATGACCAAGCATGGTCGATCTTTCGAAAGCTTTCTGGGCCGACAGTGCGATCGGAGGAGAGAGTTGGCTTGCAGGAGGGCCGACTTGTTCAAGTGCTTGGCCGTGTTCCCAGTTCGCAAATGGCGTGGTAGGTTGGATGTAGGAGGACGAAAGATAATTTGACAGTTGCGGTCGGAGGTTGGTCGGGTTGGACGGTTCTCGTTGGGAAGACAGATGGTGATGAGCATGTATGGTTTCATTGGAGGCCGCATGTCTGAACCCAGGCGCCGGTGAGACCGACAGGGGATTGGTGATCGCGATCCCATTTCGGAGTGCACTGGGTTCGCTTTGCTTTTTGAGCTTGGCGCTGCTGATAATGTCTTCAACAGGCACCGAACGAGAGTACAATGTATGTGGGGCATGTTTTCGGATGTGTTGACGGTGTCTTTCGGCTGGTGTGAGAAGTGAGTGTAATGAAGAGGGTAAGAGCTCCGTCACGTCTTCCTCTCCATCCACTTCCACTTCATCCCACAGATCTTCGTCATTAGCAGTGTGGCTCATGCTCGTCAGATGAGAGACGTGATTAGGACTGGTGGCTACGGACGGGGCACTTCTCGGATAGCCGTCCTCCGAACCAAACGAACCGATTCTCGGGAGGAAGACACTGCGTGAACCAGGGGCTGAAAAGGGCGAGCCAGCCCCAAACGGAGAGGGACTTTGCTCACGGGGCCAAGCGCGAGCTCGTTCGACAGAGCTTTGAAGTTGATGACGGTCCGATGAGAAGCCATTGTGTTGAGGGGCTGCCGAGAGTGCACTGGGTCGATGGTCGTGATAGTGATGATGAGGTTGTTGTTGCTGATCGGGATAGGAGTTATTGGTTTGATAGGGGTTAGCAAATAAGCCGTTTGAATGGTGACCAGAGGGTGACAAGGCTGCAGCCCCGAATCGAACGGGTGGGGAGGTTTCAGCGGTGACGAAATCATCAGGTAATCCGAATTGTAAATCATCGCCTTGATTTGAGGCTTCGTGGTCTAGATCGCTGAGGAGGGCACGAGGGGAGCGAAGGAGTTGACGGGATCGATGGATGATCTCAGGAGAGGAGAGAGAGTCGATAGATTGGATTGGTTCGGGGTGGTTGATGATCTGATTGGATGATGAGTTGGACTGATTATTGTTGTCATCGTCAACAAGCTCTAGGGTGAGTTCAGGTGGTGGACTGGCTGGGAAAGGGGCGTCAGAAGGCTGATTAGCCGAGGTAGCAGCAGCTTCACGGGCGGCAGCCTGGGCAGCGCGTTTATTCTTCCGGTCCATTGACATAGGTTGACCGGGTAGAATATGAGCCTGCGGAGTTAGGAAAGATGTATTTTTTTTGGCATTAGTGATGGGTTTGACAGTCAAATCAGGGCGATTTTTTATGTGAATTAAAATGAGAAAAGACTGACCAGAGCACATTTGTGAGCAAATCGACAGTTACCCTTGACGAACCATTGACAGACCGGTTTCCCTTGACCGAGTTCGGGGAGAGTATGAGAAAACTGGCAGGTTGTACCGGCAGAGCAATTACCGGCCTAGAAAGAGAAGAAGCAAGAAGTATTTACAGATCGGAATGTACAGTACATGTACGTCATGTTAAAAAAAAACGACGGAAGAATAGAACAGAAAACGGTTGAGATCAGTGTCAAGTAATCAAATCCGAATCACACAACAAAGGGATGCACAATGTATGCTGACCTTGAAAAATTTACAGATCACATGAGAGACCTTTGAGGCAGATTTTTTGGATCCATCCAAGGGGGGATTATTGTTATTGGTGATGTTGTTGCTGGGTGTGCCGGCGGAGTTGGAGGTGGTGTAGGCTTTGTTGGCTTGATTGGGTGGAGTTTTTTGATCGGATGCGGCTGTTTTCGGGGTGAGTTGACGGTGAGTGCGAGGGAAGGCCTGTTGCTTGAGTGGTGTGGTGAGTTTATCGTTAAGGTGGGTTGAGTGCTTCTGAGACTGGTTGAGATGAGTATTGACGCTCATCGCAGGTGATTGGAGGGCGGTCATGTTTGCTAGTGATGATAAGAATTGGAGTCAAGTCGAGGTAGTCTCAGGGAGTTTAGTAGTAGCTGAGGATTGAGGGAGGGGACATGCAGGAGGCTCTTGTAACAACAACAACAATAACAATAATGATACGATTCGATTTGTGTATTAGCAGTCAGCAATAATAAATAAAAGTCGAGGAAGTTGAAGGAGAGAGGGAAGAGAAGGAAAGCAGGTGCGGAGTGAGAGTGGTCAACAGGAAACTTGCAGGATCAAAAACAAAGAGAAGAAGAACTTAAGAAGAGTGATCTGTATGCACTTACACAAACAACCGGAAGTATGGGTTTAGGATCCCAGATCTGACTCATCACATAACTTGTGAAAAAAAAAAGACTCCATTGAGCATTTCCAATCTCAACTAATACAGAAAGGCTCATCATCCCCAAGAACATAACGATCAAAGCTCCATCATCATCATCAACGCCATCATCTCCAACAGAAGAAGAAGAAGCTTGGATCCGACCAATGGCTTCATCAGCAGCAGCTACAGATTCACTTAAGACTTCCGAACGGGAAAAGCTCGAGCTCGGTGCTTGAGAGCATGATGTCTCAATCGGCCATCCATTCGAACTGCGTCGTTCATTCATTCTCATTCAAGAAAAATCAGAATAGCGAATGGCGACAAGTCAAGAAAAATCAGAATAGCGAATGGCGACAAGTTAGAGAACGCGTAACCCAGCTTGAGAGCGACGTGTCTCATCCAGTACTTCTCCTCAATCGAAACTTCGACCTCCAAAATTCACTTTGGGTATTAAGGCCTGAATGTCAGGTGAAAGCAATGTATAATCTCATCTGTTTCTAAACTAACATCGCTCCACCTAAGCCTCTCTGGAATTGATGCCTCCCTAACCTTCATGTCTAGTTAGCCCAACACTGAACTGACTGATGAATCTGAGATCTCCTTTGAAAACTAAACTGACCAATGAATTTTAGTTATAATCTTTGAATATTTTGGATTACAAAAAGCTTCTTTTGATTTCAAAGTTTGATTTTTCAGGGAGACCCAAGTGTACACAACTCTCACTAACAGCATACATATTCATGTCTGAAAAATTCAATACAAATAAAACCATCCCTTTTCCATTGGTTTTTTTTCTTGGTATAGAAATATAAGTGGAGAATAAAAACCATCAAATCCAACAGGATGGTAATTAGGAGAAAAAAAAAACAGGACACCTGCATTTTGAGAAGAGAGATTTAGGAAGTGGAGGACTTGCTGTCAAATCAGGAGCCCTCACAGGTGTCAATTTGGAGCCAAAAAGGCTAGATTTGTTCAGGGAAATCTAGCTTTGGGGGCTCTAAGTTGGTTCTGGGGAAACCAAAGATGTTGAAGCTGGGAAGTCGTGATCCGGTGTTAAAAATGGCTGTGCAGGCAGTTTTTCAGTTTTGATTTGTAAGCCTCTTATGTGGTAAGAGTAAGACTAGGCTACACTGCCCAGACCTTTTGACACTCTCATTCACCAAAAGAGGTTTGGGGAAGCACAAGGGGCTGAGGTGAACCAGGATAGGGAAATAAAAGTCACAGGTGCTGGTTCTTGCAGCAGTGACTGAACATAAACATAAAGAGAGTTGAGATTCAGTGGGGAAAGAATGGAGGATCAGAGCAAGCCATAAACAAGATACAAACTGAGTTTGGACAGAAGTATACAACTAGCTATAAGAACATGGACACAAGGATGATTGGTCTCTGGCTAGGACAGCTGTCCAAAGTACCAGCTACTATTTGTAAGTTGGTAATCCTGAGTCTTCTGTAACCCCAAACAATCTGACATGAAAAGTTTAGTTCACTCTCCTCTTGAGAAATCTTCATTGAAAACTGATCTGTCCCAAGGTTTTGCTTCTCATAATTCCATGCTATTTCATGCAAAGAAAGTGCAGAATTCATATCTCCACATCTCCTGGACACAAGAAATCAGCTGATTATGGAGAATAACAGTGCATCTAAGTGAATCACAAGAAAAGTGAGTGATTAAAGTGCCTTTCAGTTTTCATTGTTTTTTTTTTCTTACCAGTCTCATAATGACACATTTGACAGTTCAAGCTTGTTTTCCGTGAAGATCAGAGGAATGCCTACTGTTTCTTGTGGGCTCTTCCAAAGATACATTGTCAGTCTTGGTTGGGGATCAGTGCTTGAATTGCATTCATCTTTCATTTCCAAATAAAATGAAGCCCTGGGATCACAAATTAAAAATTGGGGATTCAAGGACCAGGAGAATTCTTCTATGAAACACTTGTACAAAGTATGGCTTGATTTGATTTTGCTTGCTCTTTCTATGAATTTTTTGGAAAACAAAAGAAAACAACCTACCCTATCTATGTAACAAATCAAACACTAGACACTTTCACTCTCTTTTTTACATCTTTTGTCTCATTTTTTACTCAAGAATAGATTTTGTCTCTTGAGTGATGGTTAATTTCCCTGAATTTCAAGAAAATACCAGTATTAAAAACTTGCAAATGTTTGACTTTTTTTGTTTCTAATTTGTCCAAAGGCACAGCACTAAAATTCACAAATCAAATACAACATCTTCACCTATCTTAGGATACTAGTAGTCACTTTTTCCTGAAAAGATAAGAGTTGGATCACCGCTTGAACAAGAGTTTTGATGTTTACTCAGAGGGATTACCTGTGCAACCAGATAACTCCCCTTATAGGTGCAAGATACGTCTTCTCCACTGAGTCGTGTGCGCCAGTTAGACAGGTTTTAAAAATCTTTGCAACCCACACAATCTGATAGGATTCAAAAGGGAGTGTAAGTTGTTGAGAACCTTGTTGTATTTGAAGTTAGATGGACTTAAAAGGCTTTCGGGCGTTCAAATCACTGGGAGAATTCCAGTAACATTCAAAGTCAAAGATATCAGGCAGGCCTTCTTGGGTTCCATGGATTGCTATTGAAAAGGTAGAGGTGGTATTAAGCGACTGTTTGAATGATTTGCAAAACCGATCAAAGGTTCAGAATTAACATACAAACTCTCTTTTCATCATCGTGAAACTGGATGGTGATGGCTTGATTGGCCGTTCTTCCCCATGCCCTGTCGCGGGTGCTTGTTGAACTTTGGTTGCACTCTCTCCAGTGCATCTTTGAAACTGGCACAGTCATCCAATCAAGCATGCAACCCCAAAAGAAGTTGAAAGACACAAAATCAGCATTCTGTTGATTTGATTCGTGAGATACACAGGTTTATATGCAATCTCACAAGATCCAACAGTAGACAGATTAGGATATCCTCCAGAGGTACACAAAAATCCACCTTTGTTGTTCTGGCAAACTGTGGATTATTGGAGGCAAGATTATGTGTTAGCGGGTTTGTATCAATCATCGCATTTTGGGTCGCAGAAACTGCTGTAAGTAGAGCTCACTCATTTGAGAATTGTCCGCGTAGTACTCGCCAAGAAACCGCACGCAGTGCCTCACGGAGCCCGCCCTCGGTACCAGGTTGTGTCGGGCTTCTACAAGCTACATAGCTAAGGTCAAAAGAGTGATTGCAGTCCCAGCGTTGTGGTGGTCCAGGCTGTTGTGCGCAACAAAACTGCCAAAACCCCTACCTTACAACCTAAACCACTTACATATATGAATATTTTATTGCATAATCAGAATCTGCATACAATTTTACCCATAGTCACTCACTACAACCATACCTCTATCTCTATTAGTTTAGAAGATAATCCAATATAAAGGTTAAAGCCATACCATAACTAGTCATTAATTAGTATTTAATAGTAGTTTACCACATATATATATGTACATAAACATAGATTATTACATCAGCAGGCCTCCACCAGTAGTGCAGACCATTTATGCAATTCTTGCATGCATATGTGCAACCATTAGGCCTCCACTTAGTTACTTAATTGAATTTACGCAGACTTTGCATAAATGCATGTGGACAGAAAAACCTCCACCAGGCAGTGCAACCAGTTATGCAATCCTTACATACAGTAGTACAATATTTAGTTATTTCCACAGCATAATTAGCTCAATGCATGTACTCTTTGCAGGAGGCAGTGCAACCCACAAGGTCACCACCAGCAAAATAACCTCAACTGCATCACCACCAGCAAAAATAACTCAGAAAAGAATATATAAGGAGGCCTCTCCTTCACCAATTCCCCCCCATCATCACCCAGCCGGTTCATCCCCCCCAGCCAGCTCAGTGGTCATCATCATCCAAGTCTAGTCAACACTAGTAACCACAACAACACCAACACCAACACCAACACCAACACCAACACCAACATCAACATCAACAACAACAACCAACAGTTTCACTACTTATCCAGAATCACCATAAAACCATAAAACCCTATAAAATATTCCACTTGGATTGTTTTCACACTCACATTCACCGTGTAAAGGTTGTACAACCATCTTGTATTGAATTACATACTGATCTAGGTCTGATAGAGACTACTACATATAAAGTTTTCTCCATCATAAAGTTACGCCACAACAATAAATTAAATTGTTGTCAGAATTCTTGTGTAGTAAATAGAGGGGCAGGTCTTTCAAACCACCCATAACAGTAAATATTATCTAGTGAAATATCATTATTGTTATTTCCCCCTCAAGGACTGCCAACCCATCCCAAAGGAGTTCTCACAGCGTACACTCTGAGCATGAAAGCTTTTGTCTTGAACATTGTAAGTTAGGTGCTGGTTATGTGAGAGCTTTAATTGGGGAGTCTAGACTAGGGGAAAACGATCACTGGATAAGGGCTGGCGATGGACCCTCTGGTCGCATGTTGCATTTATGTTTCTTTTTGTGCGGGCCAAAATTCAAGTGAGCCATGGACGCAATGTACTTCTTGTACATCCAACCAGGAAGAATTACCGATGTGGAGTTGAACCCTTCTAATGGTATACGGTGTGTCACTGAAACACAGCCGGCTAATGATCCACCGGTGTAATGATCAGTATATATTTTGTCCAAACGAGACAAAAACATAGCGCGACGGGCACTTTACACTTCTCCGTGCAGCAACACCCTTCGGAGGGTCCCGGCGGTAAAGAGGGACTTTGTGTAGTTAGAGTGCGGCGCGGTGACCAGTGTCCAGGTTGGCCGTCCCGTCCGGCACGCCACAAGTGCAATATCCCTGCAAGCGGCACTGCCACCAGTTGCCCGGTTGAGCTGTAAGAGCATCTCCAATGGTCCCTGGGGAGAAGACCCTGTTTACAGGGTTTCACAGACTGGTTTTTACCTGACTTAACAGT